ATAAGCAAATTTGAGTTTAAATTAGATTCCATTACAAATTACGGCAACAGAATAAAGATATAAGAGTGAAATAGATTATAGACTGATACATACGTAAGCAACTAGCTTTTTCTTTAACTAGACCACAAAATAAATGAACATTAACTATTTTTTAAAGGTTCTTTGCTCTTTTGTTTTGTTTGCGTCTAAACAATCTTATTTGGGACTTTAAATTTTCCGAGTTTCCACTTAGAAATTCCTTCTGCCGAAACACTGACTACGGTATACGTGATTAAAACTTTTATTGCGTTACATAACTTATTTTAGCTTGTTATGCAATAGTCTTATTACTTCTCACCACCGTCTTCTCATGACTCTTGTGACCTTAAATAGCGACACGTCTGTCTTTTTTTAGTGCTTAGCGAGTGAAGCAGTGTCCAAAGCTGAGATTTTGAACCAATGTTAGAATGTCACGTCCCGTAAGCTTCTAGGCCTTAACAAAGTATTAGAAAAATTCTTGTGTGGTCATTTGCTAGCCTCTTATACAGTGTCAGTCAATCTCTTGTTTTAGGTATACAAAATGCTTTTTGCTAATTCTTTACGACCAAAGAATCATCAGCCCTTTAGGCCGCTAAAATTCGAATTTATGCGGTAATCCTAACATAATTTCGGTTTTGAGCACGACATTATTTAAATTAATATGAGATTTAAATTGCCTGATATGCCAAATTAAATAGCGGTGAAGAATATTCGATACAAAACTTATAGGGATCCAATATTTTCTTTATATTTTTAGGACTTGCGTTCTATCCTTCTATCGATTCATCTTATTCGCCTCCTAAGTACATTGTAAAGCTTAGAACACCTGTTTTCTAGGCTTAGAGCTTTAATTTATGTAGCTGTTATAAGTGAACGATACATTCAACTCAACCATCTATCCCTAATGCAGAACGAAGATTTAAGCTATAATGATTACGTTTCAAGAGCTTTATTCATCCTAGTTTGCTTTAGATCATGAAAGACTGATAGAAATTTTTCCCACGAGCAAATAAGTAGACCTCATGGTACAATTGAATTTTACTTAGCCTTATTTGATAAATTAATTCTCGTCTAAAGTCGACTCTAATTTCGACCTAAGAATTTTTTCATCATGTATTTTCATACAAAACTGAAGTCTCCATAACAATGTTATTTCAAAGATTCATCGAAGCTCGCTTTTTCTTCATAAAAATTTATTTTTATCAACTATTATAAATCCTTAGCTGGGCCCTCTTACCAGACAAACATGAACCTGGGAGGCCTTTTTTCCTTTCTGGGGTTGGTTAGTGACACAATAAAGCTCAAGAACAACGAAAAGTATCTGGTTTATTATGCCTTTCGTAGTGTGTTAGTTACAAAAAGATATAATTTGGGTTTCTAACCCTCGTCTATTAGATATATTTTTTCAATAGTTGAGGGCATGCACTCTGACGTATAGTTTTGCATAGCACTGCTATCTCAGTTACTAAATATGTCAGCTCATTATATTGTTGAGCTGGTGGAGCGCCACATTATATGCACGTATCATGATTTCTCCAACGCTTTTGGGTATCAGATTCTCTGGAAAAAATGTGCTTATTAAGAACTTTTGTAAACATTTTTGTAGAAATCCTCTCTAGAATGCCATATTTTACTCAGTCTTCTATTCTTTCATGGACATTTTTGTAAACGTAATGCCAAAATGGCTTTCCAGAAATATGCGGATAGCATTTGTATGCGCAAATGGTGTCGAAGTGCTATTACTATCCAGTATCTCCAAACTAAGCATAGCGTTGAACCACATCATTTTAACTATGACTTTTACCCTTGATGATCATTGTTTCTGATCGATAAGGCCTTCCTCATCTCAACGATATTATTATATCAGTGCTATAAAATACATGTCTAAGCGAATATATTTATACAGCAAGTATTTAATGGAGAAGGATGCTCCTTTAGTGCGAAATATTAAAAGTGAATATCTGCTGTACCTGATTTTTTACCATGCATTTCTCTGTTTTCTAGTCTTATTTTGATCCTCACTCTTACTTGGCTAGGCCTCTAAGCCAGTTTATTGCTGAATCGACTGAATACTGCTACAATTTCCATCCTACGAATACGTCTCGTATTGGATTGGTTTTACTTTATATTTTTTGAAATCTCTATTTCCTCACAGATTTTGAAGGACTTCAGCCTCATTATTGAGCCGGGCCAGACAATAGCTCTGGTTGGTGCTAGTGGCTCCGGTAAGAGCACCATAATACATCTACTTCAACGATTTTACGACCCCACCGAAGGCCAGGTTCGTATTGATTATTAATTATATGATGAAGAGATGGAAACTTATTGATATTCATAGTTACGGCTACTGAATTTTAATTGCATGGTCATCCGTTTCATATCCACTTCTTACTATCACACTTCGAATGGGAAAGTTATATTCCACGTTGAGTAAGAGAAAGGCCTCCTGAGATTTATGCTATTAAGGCATGAGGTCACAATAGTCCAAATTAATTCCCGACCATATGGCTATATTTGGGTTGCGCCGCATGTTCTTTATCAATGGATTAGCAGCAGAATAGGAATCTTTATTAGGACCTGTAGACTAAAAAAACATTCGCTGTCACTACTACTATTTTATTATTTGGCTTTTTTTACTAGATAAACTATAGACGGTGTAGATTTTCAGCAACCTATCTTGTTGCAACTATTCTTCGCAATTATGTTTCATTTCCGCTTCCCTGGTGCTAATTGCCTCATTTGCGCCTCTTCATTATCTACTGGGCTTAATCTCCACTTCACATAATGTGTTCCAGCTTGTGACTAGGCCTTATTCGGTGAATTGTTTCTACTCCATTCTATTCCCTTCTTAAAAAGAGGGGGACTTAAATGTTCTCAATCTTCATGCGCAGGCGATCATA